TCTCCCGTTATAAAAAAAAGCGCTGAAAAAAAAAAAAAAAAATAAATAAAATAAAAAAATAAAATAATAAATATAAATTTAGTAAAAAAAAAAAAAAAAATTTTTTTGCATATATTTTTGCAATCTAAAAAAAAAAAAAAAAAATAAATATATATCTAAAAAAAAAATACTAAAATAAAAAATTACATTTTATAATAATAAAAATAAATAATAAAAAAAATAAAAAAAAAAAAAAATATTAAAATAAAATTAAAAAAAAATATAAACACATTTATAAAAATATAAAAAAAATTTTTTTAAAAAGAAGAAAAGATAAAAATGTGTACTAAAAAAAAAAAAAAAAAAAAAAAAAAAAAAAAAAAAAAAAAAAATAAAAAAAAAATAAAAAAAATGCACAAATCTATCTATGACAAAAAAAAAAAAAAAAAAAAAACTAAAAAAAAAAAAAAAATTAAATATTAAAATGTTAAAAAAAAAAATAAAAATATAAATAAATAAATAAAAAAAAAAAAAAAAAAAAAAAAAAAAAAAAAATAAATAAAAAAAAACTGCAAAGAATAAAATATAAAAAAAAAAAATATTAAATACAAAATATGTAAAAAAATAAAAAAAAAAAATATAAATAAAAATAAAAAAAAAAAAAAAAATTATTTTGAGTGAAAAAAAAAGATAAAAAAAAAAAAAAAAAAAAAATAAATATATATATTTATAAAAAAAAAAAAAAAAAAAAAAATAAATTATATATATATAATATATATATATTATATATAATTTTATATTTATTTTATTATAATTTTGTATGAATTGTATATCCTCTGTTAGCATAATATTGTAAAAAGAAAAATAATTCCCCTCTAGCATGTCAGTTGCCTAATAATTTTAAAGCAAACCCTTTCAAAAATTATAAAAACACTGCAAAATGTCTATTTAAAGCAAAACGCAATCAAACGCTCAATATAAAATAATGGTGAAGATGATGACAATAGTAATCATTTTATTGTTGGTAAATTGTCATGGGTGTCGCTGGCTGATTGCGGTGTGCTGGGTGACGGTGATGTAGATGGCACTGGGCTCTGTGGTCAGACTGGGCAGTGGGTTCGGGTGGCACCAGGCGCTGGGGATCGCTCCAAGGAGAAGCCCAGGCCGGGCCAGACACAGGAGGATCCACAGAGGAGCAGAATTTCGGAGTTCAAAGCCTCCTCAGACTGGCTGCCCTGTAATTTTATCCGTTCAGTGGTTAGTATGGTCAGGCCAGACAGAGACAGCGGTTCAGCCAAAAAAAAACTGGAGAGAAGGATTCTGCTGCAAATGTCTCCGATCCCCCCTCCCTACAATCCCAGCAAAACCGAACAATCCCCCCAACATTCACCAGATTTCACAAATCACCCCAACTGCACCATATTCCCAAACTTCTCCTGAAAGGGGCCCGATGACAACACCTGCTCACAAATCACTCAGATTTATAATTTCCCCCCACAAAAAAATTTTATGCATAACCCACCTAAACGTAGCAAGGATATTTGAAATCAATTTTCAAGATATAAAATGTAAAATGATTTTTATATTTAATATTTTTTTTAAATTATTATTATTTCCAAATGTAACGTCAATGAATGAACAAAAGTGTCTCCAGTGTACGGGGGTGTCAGATCATCCAAAATACCCCCAATTTCCTGCTCGCTGCACAGACTATAGGAGAATAATCACATGTAGGAGCAATAGGGAGTGCAGAATAATGTGGGGCACCATAACAATAATTATTGAAATATATTTTAGGTATGCAAGTATGAAAGGAAACAGATTCTATTCTTTCTCTCTCTCTCTCTCTCTCATCTCTCTCTTCTCTCTCTCTCTCCCTCTAAAAAGAGAGAGGGATAGAATGTTTCCTTTCATATGTGCATACCTGAAATATATTTTTATATTGTTAAAAAAACATATACACACATGAAACAACATATCTTTATTTATTCATTTATTCATACACACTCACACACCGATATATATATATATATAATATATATATATATATATATATATATAAAAAAATCTAAATGGTTATGCATGTATATAATACAGGAATACATATTTCCACAAACACAGAGAATAAGACTGCATTCATACACGTCATATATACTTAACATAGGCAGAAAGATACAGGCGTGTACATTATATTGTTTACATTTTTACACATACATATATAGCCCTATATGCCTGTGCATTATATATTTTACACATATCTACATGTATGTCCATTATATATTTTAAACACACCTACATACATGTACATTATATAGTTTACACACACCTACATACAATGTATATTATATATTTTATAAACACCTACATACATGTACATATATAGTTTACACACACCTACATACATGTACATTATATAAAAAAACACACCTACATACATGTACTTTTATATAGTTTACACACATCTACATACATGTACATTAATATAATTTACACACACACCTTACATACATGTACATTATATATTTTATACATTATATATTTTAAAACACACCTACATACATTACTTTATATAGTTTACACACACCTACATATATGTACATTTATATATTGTATACACACCTACATACATATACATTATATATTTTATACACACCTACATACATGTAAATTATATAATTTTATACACACCTACTACATACATGTACATTATATATTTTTATACACACCTACATACATGTACATTATATATTTTATACACACCTACATACATGTACATTATATATTTTATACACACCTACATACATGTACATTATATTATACACACATTTTAACACACACACACACACACACACACACACACACACAATAATAAAGCTACATGGATGTTTAATCCTTTGGTTGAACTGGATGGACTTGTGTCTTTATTCAACCAGACTAATTATGTAACTATATATATGTACACATAATAAATATATATTTTTTCTACACACATAAAGCTGTGTAGATTTACATTTCCAGACATATGTATGGACTTTGTTCCCTGTGTCTGTATAGAAATATATAATTATCTATACACAAATAAAAACAGTTTTTTATGGGTCTGTGTTGCAATATACAGTACACATTATATAACTGCAGTTATACTGAATTTTACATCACTTCTACACTATAGAGAGAGAGATGGATAGATAAATAATAGCAGAGATTCAGGGCACTCATAGGATTCAGCAAAAGAACAAAGTAGAAAATATAGCATTGATTACATACATTGGGGTTGATTTACTAAAGGAGTAGAGCATGTTCACATTTCTAACTGAATTTTCACTCTGCAAGGAAATTTACACTTATATTAGCGAATGTGGGAAAAAAGTCAGCTTGCAAAGAATATCCAAGTCAGATCAGCAGGACTTCGCCTTATTCACTAAGCTAAGAGACCTTTCCCTTGCGAAGTAAAAATCCACTTTGCTAAGTGAACAACCTATTTGCCTTGAGTAAATCATCGCCCATTGCATCTGATGCTTTGGAGTAGTCCTTAGTGATCTCTACTACTACCACTACTACAAGTACCACCACTGCTGCTACCACTACTACTACAAATACCACCACTACTACCACTACTACTACAAGTACACTGCTACCACTACTACTACAAGCACCACACTACTACCACTACTACACAATACCACCACTGCTACCACTACTACTACAAGCACCACCACTACTACCACTACTACTACAAGTACCACCACTGCTACCACTACTACTACAAGCACCACTACTACCCACAAGTACCACCACTACTACTACAAGTATCAGCACTGTTACCACTACTACTACAAGTACCACCACTACTACTACAAGCACCACTACTACTACAAGTACCACTACTACTACCACCACTACTACTTCATCATCTCTGAGTGCAGTGCACCATGGCAGTAGTGATCCCCTGCTGAGTGCAACTCCCACCAAATCTCAAATCACAAAATATAAAATGCATTTTTATGTCAAAAAAAATCTATCTATCTATCTATCTATCTATCTATCTATCTATCTATCTATCTATCTATCTATCTATCACAAAAATCTAAAATGCATTTATATATATATATTTATCTATATCTATATATATATATACAAACACATAAAATGCATTTTTAGATTTAGTATTAATATATTTTATGTGTATATATATATATTATATATATATATATATACACATAAAAATGCATTTTTAGATTTAGTATTCATATATTCTATGTGTGTGTGTATATATATATATATATACATACATAAAATATATGAATACTAAATCTAAAATGCATTTTTTATGTATATATATATATATATATATATATATATATATATAAAAATGCATTTTAGATTTTGTGATTATATATATATATCACAAAATCCAGAATGCATTATATATATATTGGAGCAGTTGCCTATGTGTATAGAAACAATATAAATATAAAACAAAAAAAAAACACACACACACACACACACATATATATATATATATATATATATATATATATATATAGACATAGTGTCTATATACATAGGAGCCTTTGTTGCCCCGGTGGCACTGCGCCCCCCTAGTTGCTGGTTGCACCGCCCGGTTGCTCGGGGGCCCCTGTGCAGCCCTCATGCCCGCCGGGTGCTGTGAGACGCCTCTTTTCTGTCTCTCTTCAGCTTTTGTTTTGTTTGTTCTCTTTGGAATGAGTTTTGCGGTTTGTTATGGTGCTGACTGGCGGCGCCTGGGTTATAAATGGAACGGGGGAGATAAACCCTGGAAGGAAGAGGCACAGACATGGTTTTTAGGACTGCCCGAGACGGCTGTAGACCGCAGCCACGAATAGCTGGCAGCCCAGACTCCAAAGAGGGGAGGTTGGGGAGGGGGGGTGAAGACAAGCGGGGTCCCTTTTGCGCCCCCAAAAACTCCGCGGCGCGGCCGCTCTCCTGTGCGGAGACCGCTTTCCGCACTTTTAGCGCTGCGCGGAGACCGCTTTCCGCGCCTACAGCGCTGCGCGGAGACCACTTCCCGCACCTCCAGCTTGCGCGGAGACCACTTCCCGCACCTCCAGGACGGCGCGGACAGCACAGCCCTCTCCCCCAGGCTTACCTGGCTGGCTGGTGGGTGGCTGCACCCTGTTGTACGCCCCTCCATACTGGTGGTGAGGGTGGTAGGGGCTCCCATAGCTGTAGTCGGCGTAGGTCTTGGCAGGGTAAGTGGCTGCGGCAGATCCGTTCATGCCATGGTACTGGTACTGGTAGGCATTGAGAGCCTTCCCATAGCTGGCAGAGGTGGGCGAGCAGTAGCCATGGTGTGGGTGGGTGGTGGCCCCTCCTGGGCTGTAGTAGCCGGAGTCGGTGGCAGAGGACTCAGGTAAGGTAGGTGAATCCTGGGAAGGGTGGTGCATGATGCTGGCAGCTTGGAACGAAGAAGAAGAAGAGTAATCGTTGCCTCTGATGGTGGGAAGTCTCCTCTCATAGACTCCTGTCATGCTCTAGGACCAAGGGGGGATGCAGAATTGTTTTTTAGGGGTTCAGCTGCTTTGGGGGGGTGGTGGTGGGGTCGGTTTCAAGGAGCCATTCCACAGCTTGAAGCTTCCCCTAAAATAGTGAGAGAGAGTGTGATGAGCCTTCCTGAGTGCTGCAGCAAGTTTCAGCAGCAGGATCAGGAGCAAGCCAGGAGGGAGGAGCTGCAGAGGAGGAGGGGCGGCTCTGTAACTGGCTGCACATCACCATAGGCTTGCTGCAATCCCCAATGCCCTCTTACGCACAGTAGGGTGGGACTGGTGCCATTGGCCAAAGCTCTGCGAAAGCGACAGCAACACCCTACAACCCGTCCGACTAGTTCACAACAACAAAGCTGTGTGCTGCAAGCTACAGCCACCAGGCAAAAAAAAAAAAAAAAAATTAGATCCTCATTCAAAAAAGTGAGTGCTGAGGAGCTGGAGCCTGAGCATGCAACCCAGCTGCTTCCTCATTGACTTCCAATGGGGAGCTGCAGGGGATACACAAACAGCCCCTGGCCAGCCAAACATTGCCCTTTGCCATGCTAACTAATGACATAAAAAACACAACAGTCCTGAATTACTGGTTGTTTCTGGTGATAAAAGGGTTAAAGCTGAACTCCAGGCAGGTAGAAAAGATACAAAGAGCAGCTCTGCATTCATTAAGGGATCATTAAGCTGGAAATACACTATACAAGTTGATTGTACAATCTCCTTTATGGTGGCCATACTGTCACCAATACACATTCACACAATCTCCCTACGGTCTTCCTTAGGGCTCGTTCACAAGAGAGATTCACAATCGGATCGCTCTTCGGAAAGTCTTTGACAGGCGGTGGGGAGGCATTGGGGTTGAGTTACTAAAGGCAAATAGACTGTGCACTCTTCAAGAGCTTAGTAAACGAGGGGAGGCTCTGCTGACTTCCATCATCCAATCATGTGCAAGCAAAAATGCAGTTTTTTTTTAAATTTTCCCTGTATGTGATTGGGTATTCTTTGCAAAGTGAAGCTTTACCTCATTTACTAAGCTCTGGAGCAACTGCACTTGCAAAGTGCACAGTCTATTTGCCTTTAGTAAATCAACCCCATTGCATCACGTCCGTTCTGCCTTTTAGAATCCAGTACTAAGTGTGCCGCAACTGTGGTCATTGCATGGGGTTGCGAGGCGCTTGCGGAGTAGCCCTATTCATGCTGAGTGGGGGCTATGTTGGCTGAAAGCGACAGAAGCAGGGGCGGACTGACAACTCATGGGGCTCCCGAGCACTAGGGGATCATGGGGCCCCTGTGTCCTCACCCACACTCAAAAACCACACCCAAAAAAGCCTATTAAAGGTACTAGGGGCCAGGGGCGGACTGACCATTTGGAAACTCGGGCACTGCCCGAGGGCCCGGGGTCAGTAGGGGGCCCCATGAGATGCCCCTGGTACCTTTTTCATAGGCTTTTTTTAGTTTGGGCAAGGACACAGGGGCCCCATGATCCCCTATTGCTGGGGGCCCCATGAGTTGTCAGTCTGCCCCTGCTAGGGGCATCTCATGGGGCCCCCTACTGACCCTGAGCCCTTGGGCAGTGCACGAGAGCCCGAATGGTCAGTCCGCCCCTAGACAGAAGGTATCATTCTGTACACCCCTGGCCCCAGCCTCTGCAGCTAAAGGGGGAGCACCTCTTGAACCCTGCACTAGCGTGCCGCAACCATGTGCTTGCAGGGCGCTTGCAGAGTAGTTATATTCACTTGAATGGGTCACACTCAGAGGAAGCCATGCGACAGGAGGTGTCATTCCTGGATGTATACACCCTCAGTGCTGGGACGGGGTCATCTAGCACCAAGGGCAAAGAGACCAAACTGCACCCCCCCCTCCCAAAATGTATGAGCATTATGTGTCAGCAAATATCCCCTCCCTCTCCACTCCCCAAAAAACGTTTGAGCACTATTATTTACATTTACCCCCTAAGCATAATTTCCCTTTGCAAGGCCAAATTTCCCCCATACGAAAAACTCCCCCTCTTTCCGTACAAATCCCCCCTCCCAGCTCAAATCATCTTCCTCCCCAAATCCCCCCTCCTAGCACAAATCCTCTACCCCTCAATCCTCTACCCCCTCCAATTCTCCCTCCTAGAACATATTTCCTCATTCATTCCTACTAGCATAAATCCCCCCCATCCCTCCCAAATCCACCTTCCTAACAGAAATTCAATCTCCTAGTACAAATCCCTCCCCCCAATTCACCCCCATAACAGAAATTCAATCTCCTAACACAAATCCCACCCACCCCAGATCAACCCCCCCCCCCAAATCCCCCTTCCTAATAGAAATTCAATCTCCTAATATAAATCTCTCCCCCCAAATCAACCCCCTTCCCCCCAAATACCCCCTCTTAACAGAAATTCAATCTCCTAGTACAAATCCCTCCCCCCCAATTCACCCCCATAACAGAAATTCAATCTCCTAATACAAAACCCAACCCCCCCCCAGATCAACCCCCCTTCCCCCCCAAATCCCCCTTCCTAATAGAAATTCAATCTCATAATATAAATCCCTCCCCCCCAAATCAACCCGCTTCCCCCCAAATACCCCTTCTTAACAGAAATTCAATCTCCTAGTACAATTCCCCCCCCCAAATCAACCCCCCCCCCCCCCAAATCCCTTTTCTTAACAGAAATTCAATCTCCTAGTACGATTCCCCCCCCCAAAAAAAAAAATCAGCCCCCCTTCCCCCCCGAATCCCCCTTCCTAACAGAAATTCAATCTCCTAGTACAAATTCACCCCCTCCAAATCACCCCCCCCCCCAAATCCCCCTTCTTACCAGAAATTCAATCTCTTAGTACAAATCCCCCTCAAATCAACCCCCCTTTCCCTCCAAATCCCCCTTCTTAACAGAAATTCAATATCCTAGTACAATCCCCCAACCCCCCCTCCTTCCCCCCCAATTCCCCTTCCTAACAGAAATTAAATCTGGTAGTACAAATCCCCCCCCCCAAAATCCCCCCTCCCCTCAAATCCTCCTTCCTAACAGAAATTACATTTCCTAGTACAACCCCCCCCCCAATCCCCCCCCCCCAATCCCCCCCCCCAAATCCCCCTTCCTAACAGAAATGCAATCTCCTAATACAAATCCCCCCCCCCCCCAATTCACCCATTCTAGCACAACCCCCATAAATCCCGAATGCACCCAAGGCAGCCTCCCCTTCTACCTATCCTTTTCCTCTGTCCTGTCCTCTCGCTACTACCACTTCAGCTGAAGGTCCCCCTTTAGCTTTTGCGGGGTGGTAAAAACGTGGCCTCAACCGCTAGTGTGAATGAGCCCTAATGGTGGTCGCACACACTTAGATATTATTATCAAATCAATGTGTGATTCAGGCAAAACAATCGGATAGCCAAACAACTGAATAGGCATAACTTTTGATTTGGACTCGCTATTGATTGGACTCGCTATTGATTGGACTCGATCAAATTGAGTCGATCGGCCAGGGCTGAAATTGATCTATCGCGTTGCACTGATTGTCAGAACCAAGGTGTGTAGTCATGAATGCAATCATATTTCAGTCAGATTGTTGCATGGGGACAACAGAGATGCAATCGATATCTTACGTTTGTATTTTCCAACCAGGGGCGGACTGAAAACTCATGGGGCCCCCGGGCAATAGGGGATCATGGGGCCCCTGTGTCCTTGCCCAAACTCAAAAAAAGCCTATGAAATAGGTATCAGGGGCATCTCATGGGGCCCCCTACTGACCCCGGGCCCTCGGGCAGTGCCCGAGTTTCCAAATGGTCAGTCCGCCCCTGTTGCCAACTGTTCGAAATTTACTGTGTCACATATTGATCGATTCGGTTGCCAACTATTTCTATTGAGATTAGATAAGAGATTAATAGGAAAAGAAATATAAAAAAGTGATCAGTTTTCTTCATGATCAATCTCTTCCGATAGGAATAATTGATTGGTAGTGGACAACCCATTTGATCAACATGACACACAGGAAAGGCGATTGCAGTTGATAATAAAGATACGATTGTTGCTCGAAATACAATCATATTCATGAATGATCTCAGAGCTGCCGATTAATGCAAAACGATCAATAATTTCCTGCTCTGGCTGATTGACTCACTTTGATCAAAGCTGATCTAAATCGAGTCAATATTGATCCGAAGGAAAGTTATGGTTATTCAATTATTTGTGGATTCGATTGTTAGGAAGCTCTAATGGTGTGTGCCCAGTCTGCTGCCGCGTTCGCTACAGTGCGAATTTCAGGTGGTTCCTGAGGAAACAGACACAATTTGGTGGGTGGCCGCTCCATTCGCATAAGTCAATCGTTCGATCAACTTTTGTCAAAGAAGCCTGGTGGAAAATTTTCAACTAAGCAGCAGCTGCAGCCAATCAAATGATATTTTGACAGCCGGTGGGAATGACTGTCAATATATAATAGATTGTGCGTAAGAAAAAAAACATGAAAACATTTTTTTTTTAAAATGTTCATAACTTTGCCCGATCATGGTGATTTTACATGATTTTTGGTGTAGTGGAAGGCAGTGCAGAGTTTAAAAGATTTTCAAGTACTTAAAACCTCTTCTAATTGAATGTGGAAGTGACTATGCACGATTAATCGCTCAAATGATAGGAAGAAAAAAATTCACTTCTATTGTCTGCCATGTGACTCATTTGCAGCACTAAGCTTCGATCGGTGGCCATGATCACATGACTGATAATCGCTCACAGAACCCTCGCTAAGGCTGGAGCTACA